ACTTGGGAGCAAGTAGTAGTGATGTCATAGCAGTACAGCCGGAAAGTAGTAGTGATGTCATAGCAGTACAGCTGGAAAGTAGTACTGATGAGTGATGACATAGCCAACGCCCAGCTTGTAACTTAAAAATATTCATAATACCAGTACTGTCCCTCTCCATGCTTCCAGGATGGTGGAAAGGGCGGAAATTGAAATGGAAAACAAATTGTGAATGGCCCTAGATGAGAAAGAGAACATAACTTCTTGGTGATCGCCGTCGGAAACAATGCACATTGGCTATGAGAGTTGTCACTGATAGGACTGGAAGATTGAACAATGTGATGTCGTTAATCAACCACCCATGATAGAACACAAATTGGGCCGAGCTAGGGCACTAGTCTGTCCCCGGGGAAAATTGCGATTCCGCGGCCGCGTTTTTTTCCGCGTTTTTTGCGATTTTTTAAAAGACCGCGTTTTCCGCGATTTTCCCGCGTTTTTTGAACTTTTTTGTTGCACCACACGTACATACAGTGCACTGTTCGGTCAGTAACGTCTCATTGTGGCGGCTTTTTACTCAAATATGACGAGTGCTTACACCAGAGACTTGTAACTGATTGATTTCACTACATACTCACTGAAAATTGCCGCGCATCAATATTATTCACCGCATTTTACCGCATATTTACCGCAAATTCACCGCAAATTATGCCATATTATGCCGCGTTTTTCCCCGCGTTTTTTGCGATTTTTTTCCGCAATTTTCCCCGGGGACAGACTAGTGAATTTGCCACAAAAACCCCATAGCTGTGTGAATGATAATCATCATAGGCATATTTGAAGTAGTCACGGTAGCTAAGTGAATTTTGGCCATGTGAACATCATTGATGGTGGGTAGAGTAGTGATGATACTAGCATTGAAAATGGAGAATGGGACGGTCAAGGGTGGACTGTGAGGAGACTAGCAACAGCAGTGAGGATGCACACATGCACATGCACTGCCGACTTGACCTTTTTACTGGCATTTCTTCGGTTCGTCCTAAATCAGAACGTTGGCTGGGGTGGTGCCAAGTAGCATGGAATGGCGCTCGTACGACTTTGATTTACGGAAGCGGCTGTCCGTGCCATGCAGCAAATCAAAGATTCCCAGCATGCCAAAGTTCTGGTTGAACCTGCGTAGCAGCAGCCAACATAAACAAAAATATACTATCAGTTTTTTTATATACGAGGTACACAAACTCTTTGGCAGGCACATGGGGCTAGCATGGGGTCACCAGTGAGACGGTGCTGGTGGGACCTGCCATGCTTAACTGACCAGAGGTCTCGGCATCATCGAATGACAGACTCACCAAACTGAGGGCATTGTAGTGCATTGGATCAGAATCAGACAATACCTATAGGAACATTCATGGTCGGAAGAGACAACAAGACAACCATGACACTGATATGCAAGTGAACTGCTGGAAACAGGGAATATTTCTTTTCTCTTGTTGGCGGTAGCGACTGGGAGAGTAATAAAGTCGTCACCAAAAAAATCCAGCCAATGCCATGGATACATGTACAGAGGCATGGTACCTGTCACAATCGCATTCATGCATTTACAGTCATTAGAGGGTCTACCAGCATAGCACTGAACTAAAACAGTCCACGGCTCTGCACTCTGCCTGCTGCAGTCGAGTCGAACACAGCGCATACTGTGCACTGCAGAGTGCAGTCCCGGCAGCAGAGCATGAGACATTCACTAGGCTATTGCTTGCACTAGCAGTGGCAGTGCATGCTACCCATGCACAGTACAGCTACCGGTAGCAGTGGCAGTGCATGCTACCCATGCACAGTACAGCTACCGGTAGCAGTGGCAGTGCATGCTGCCCATGCACAGTACAGCTACCGGTAGCAAAGGCAGTGCATGCTACCCATGCACAGTACAGCTACTGGTAGCAGTGGCAGTGCATGCTACCCATGCACAGTATAGCTACTGGTAGCAGTGGCAGTGCATGCTGCCCATGCACAGTACAGCTACTGGTAGCAGTGGCAGTGCATGCTACCCATGCACAGTACAGCTACTGGTAGCAGTGGCAGTGCATGCTACCCATGCACAGTACAGCTACCGGTAGCAGTGGCAGTGCATGCTGTCCATGCACAGTACAGCTACTGGTAGCAGTGGCAGTGCATGCTGCCCATGCACAGTACAGCTACTGGTAGCAGTGGCAGTGCATGCTGCCCATGCACAGTACAGCTACTGGTAGCAGTGGCAGTGCATGCTACCCATGCACAGTACAGCTACCGGTAGCAGTGGCAGTGCATGCTACCCATGCACAGTACAGCTAACTTTTTTTTTTTTACTGGTAGCAGTGGCAGTGCATGCTGCCCAGGCACAGTACAGCTACTGGTAGCAGTGGCAGTGCATGCTACCCATGCACAGTACAGCTACTGGTAGCAGTGGCAGTGCATGCTACCCATGCACAGTACAGCTACTGGTAGCAGTGGCAGTGCATGCTACCCATGCACAGTACAGCTACTGGTAGCAGTGGCAGTGCATGCTACCCATGCACAGTACAGCTACCGGTAGCAGTGGCAGTGCATGCTACCCATGCACAGTACAGCTACTGGTAGCAGTGGCAGTGCATGCTACCCATGCACAGTACAGCTACTGGTAGCAGTGGCAGTGCATGCTACCCATGCACAGTACAGCTACTGGTAGCAGTGGCAGTGCATGCTACCCATGCACAGTACAGCTACCTTTTTTTTTTTTACTGGTAGCAGTGGCAGTGCATGCTGCCCAGGCACAGTACAGCTACTGGTAGCAGTGGCAGTGCATGCTACCCATGCACAGTACAGCTACTGGTAGCAGTGGCAGTGCATACTACCCGTGCACAGTACAGCTACCGGTAGCAGTGGCAGTGCATGTTACCCATGCACAGTACAGCTACTGGTAGCAGTGGCAGTGCATGCTACCCATGCACAGTACAGCTACCGGTAGCAGTGGTAGTGCATGCTGCCCATGCACAGTACAGCTACTGGTAGCAGTGGCAGTGCATGCTACCCATGCACAGTACAGCTACTGGTAGCAGTGGCAGTGCATGCTACCCATGCACAGTACAGCTACCGGTAGCAGTGGCAGTGCATGCTGTCCATGCACAGTACAGCTAACTTTTTTTTTTTTACTGGTAGCAGTGGCAGTGCATGCTGCCCATGCACAGTACAGCTACCGGTAGCAGTGGTAGTGCATGCTGCCCATGCACAGTACAGCTACTGGTAGCAGTGGCAGTGCATGCTACCCATGCACAGTACAGCTACTGGTAGCAGTGGAAGTGCATGCTGCCCATGCACAGTACAGCTACTGGTAGCAGTGGCAGTGCATGCTGTCCATGCACAGTACAGCTTATGGTAGCAGTGGCAGTGCATGCTACCCATGCACAGTACAGCTACCGGTAGCTATACAGTGCATGGGCAGCATGCACTGTATAGCTACCGGTAGCTTGCATAGCATTGGCCGGATTTTTTGGAGATGACTGTATTCTTCTCTGTGCAATTTTCGATAAAGTTAGCACGTGGCTTTATACATGCAGTCAGAACATTGGGGAGGGGGGGGGATTTCCTGTTAGGGGTACATCAGGGGGGGGGGGGGGCTCAAGTCAGATTTTTGCGTTCACCGCCTCCCATGTATGTGCAAGGTATTAGTACAGCTACCAATCAATGCAGAATGCACACACTACACTACTAACTTTTCATGATGGTAGTCGTGGTACTCGTTGGACGGCATGAAAGGGAGGGAGAGAGAGAGAATGTGTGAGAGAGAGGGAGAGAGAGAGCGGCTTTCCTACTTCAGATTGTATTTCCGTGAGGGGCAACCCCGAAATACTGAAAAATTCAAATGTGAAATGTAACCCCCACCAGTTCCTTGCCGGGATAGCACTTTTCTCGCAATGTAGCGAACATCATGCGTGGAGTAGTAGGCACGAAATGGATATTGCAACCAACACAGGTTATTTTGCAGTCCACAATCACCATCAATCACATGCCACGGCCACCCTTCAAACTTCTTCCCGAAATTTGACCCTTTCCCACATTCTCCTTCCGTCTTTGTGAAGATAACCTGACTCAACTAGATGTGTAGATGTAAAAGTTCCGTGCTTATTTAGAAAGTCACACCACTCACTGCATGAATCAACCGTACACGCTGCCCCTTTCCCTTCTGGACGAGGACGTTGGTGATAACATGTCTTCCAGCTGGGCATTTGCCACATGTCCTTGTTTCCACCATCATCACTCATTGCTGGAACGGTTCTGGATACTGAGCGACGATAAACTTGTCAGGCAAGCTGGCCATAACGATGCCGCTTTTGTATGGATGCCAGGTTAGGTTGGAGATATCGGCCGTTGCCTTCACCAACACCGTCGTTACCAGTTCATTGTTGCAAGCCTCTACTCGTAACGAACACTGTTCTGGCCAGTCACTCACACTCACACTATCCCGTTATGTACCAGTGCGCACGGCACAGATGTGATGACTTTATTGCCAGCCATCTGATCAGTCTGGCATCCATGTCCACAAGCACCGTTTCCATCATCATCGGTACGTCAGCAAACCTACCACCGGCTCCAGTTGACCAAGACCATAGCAGGCAGCCTCGGAGTTGATGTTGAACATTCACACACGTCTGGATTTGTTTGAATGGGTTTTCCAAGCTGCCAATCGGTGCTTGGTTTGGCTCACCCCCAGCCAGCCAGTGATTTACTTCGGACTTCGTCGGATCATGAGTCATTGACCATCAGCCTTCTTCACCGGTACGCAGTTGCTCGGCGAAAATGTAAATGGGCGAAACTGAAGCAAGAGCGAGAAAACTTGAAAAGCGAATCAACTACTACAATTGCCATGCCGACCTACCACCAAACGCCTCGATCGTCTTCCAACACCTAAGGCTAAGCTAGGCTAAGGCTAGTAGGGGACGGTGCGCATGCGCGCCGCTGATACAGAAAGGTCTACATGCGATGCAAGCAGTAGACGCGAAACCGACAGATCATCATTATTTTTCTCGGTGCATTTTCTCTGTCTGACGGTTGCTGCAGTGCTGGTGATTTGTGTCGGTCGTGTAGTTGTGTGCGGCGTTCTCCATTGTTCATTGTGGACAGACCGATTCATGCCAGCCGGCGGGGACAGAGTGAAGCCGTGGCGGAGTGGTAGGTTGTGACGCTGGGTTTTGCTGACGGCGCAATGCCGGACAGTGTGCGGTACAACATCAAGTACTTGGTATCCAATCTAGATGTGTCACTGATCTTGGAGGACCTGCTGGAGAACGATGTCCTCAGCGAAGAGGAATATGATACTGCCTCTGGCAAGGAAAACGAAAAGTTGGAGCTGGCAAAGTATGTGGTGAGGCTGATGCTGAAGAAAACGGACGAACAGGTGGATACGTTACTGAGCCTGATTCAACACAGCCAGCCTCATGTAGCGGAACATGTCGCCAGTACCATGGCAAAGCGACGCGGTGCAACTGCCAGTGGGAAAACTGACCGTCCGACGAAGCCAATGTCGGCAGATCGTGAGTCAACACTTGACTCATCCTCCGGTAAGTGTTCACATTGATTACAGTGCTAGTGGCGTAGGAAGGTGTGTGTGTGTGTGTGTGTGTGTGTGTGTGTGTGTGTGTGTGTGTGTGTGTGTGTGTGTGTGTGTGTGTGTGTGTGTGTGTGTGTGTGTGTGTGTGTGTGTGTGTGTGTGTGTGTGTGTGTGTGTGTGTGTGTGTGTGTGTGTGTGTGTGTGTGTGTGTGTGTGTGTGTGTGTGTGTGTGTGTGTGTGTGTGTGTGTGTGTGTGTGTGTGTGTGTGTGTGTGTGTGTGTGTGTGTGTGTGTGTGTGTGTGTGTGTGTGTGTGTGTGTGTGTGTGTGTGTGTGTGTGTGTGTGTGTGTGTGTGTGTGTGTGTGTGTGTGTGTGTGTGTGTGTGTGTGTGTGTGTGTGTGTGTGTGTGTGTGTGTGTGTGTGTGTGTGTGTGTGTGTGTGTGTGTGTGTGTGTGTGTGTGTGTGTGTGTGTGTGTGTGTGTGTGTGTGTGTGTGTGTGTGTGTGTGTGTGTGTGTGTGTGTGTGTGTGTGTGTGTGTGTGTGTGTGTGTGTGTGTGTGTGTGTGTGTGTGTGTGTGTGTGTGTGTGTGTGTGTGTGTGTGTGTGTGTGTGTGTGTGTGTGTGTGTGTGTGTGTGTGTGTGTGTGTGTGTGTGTGTGTGTGTGTGTGTGTGTGTGTGTGTGTGTGTGTGTGTGTGTGTGTGTGTGTGTGTGTGTGTGTGTGTGTGTGTGTGTGTGTGTGTGTGTGTGTGTGTGTGTGTGTGTGTGTGTGTGTGTGTGTGTGTGTGTGTGTGTGTGTGTGTGTGTGTGTGTGTGTGTGTGTGTGTGTGTGTGTGTGTGTGTGTGTGTGTGTGTGTGTGTGTGTGTGTGTGTGTGTGTGTGTGTGTGTGTGTGTGTGTGTGTGTGTGTGTGTGTGTGTGTGTGTGTGTGTGTGTGTGTGTGTGTGTGTGTGTGTGTGTGTGTGTGTGTGTGTGTGTGTGTGTGTGTGTGTGTGTGTGTGTGTGTGTGTGTGTGTGTGTGTGTGTGTGTGTGTGTGTGTGTGTGTGTGTGTGTGTGTGTGTGTGTGTGTGTGTGTGTGTGTGTGTGTGTGTGTGTGTGTGTGTGTGTGTGTGTGTGTGTGTGTGTGTGTGTGTGTGTGTGTGTGTGTGTGTGTGTGTGTGTGTGTGTGTGTGTGTGTGTGTGTGTCCTTGCTTTGGGTGGGGACAGTTTGAGTTTTTTTGCTCTCTGTAAGTCTTCCTCTCACGGTGACTTCATGTGCACCATCTAATGACATGGCGTCCTTTCATGCGGTTTACCGCACAGATTTATGAAGTCAGACATATTCCGATTTATTTGCATCAATCGCACAAAATTAGGTACATTTCTCTTGTAAACCCTGTCAGTTTGAGAATTTAGACAAACACCGAACAAATTTTAGCCGCGACGAGGATCGGGAGGAATCCATCATTATTATTTTACATAGCTACTACCATCACGTCGACCGAGTGAAGATCGAAATGATAATGGAGTGGAGAGAAGAAGACCTGAACTAGAGTGCTTGAGAGACTATGTAGTGTCACATGAGAATTGCTTCGTTAGGAAGGCTCTACTTTTGAATGGAGAAGCCCAACGTCGCTGATTTGCATCGCCGTTTTCAAGCGCTGATCTGCAGTCGGAATGTTTTTGTAAATTATTCGTAGTTGTGGACGTGGATGGATTCAGCGCTCTGTTCTCTCAGCAAACCTACTCAGTCCAACACGAAGGACTTCCATGAGCGAAACAACGTGCTCCTCGAGCAAGTGCAGCTCGGGGTAATATGGCCAATGCCACGGGAGACCACCTCGTGCCTGCATAAGGCCAAGAATTGATGGCAAGACATCTTTGATGAGCGCCTTCGACTTCAAGGACGCAATATATCTCCTCAGCAGTAACTGCAGCGCTCTTGCTGAAAATATCACTGCAAGCATGCACTAGGCATGATTTAGTGAAGAGCTACTTGTACTAGCGATTGGAGATTTGGTGTTGGCTTCCAGGGCTGGGCATATCTGCTCCATCATGGTAACTGGTGCGTTTGTCAAGGCAGTGCAGTTTCTGCTGCTGTTTCACAAGCCATATGCGCATATGCGCAGTGAGTAGGAATTTGTTGTATGATAGCTGAGGATCACCAGCCTTCATGGACAAACCTATATTGGGACTGGTTGCTGAACAGTGCACACCTAAATCTCTCAGCAAGCTCTCTTGCTCAGCTGGTGACGAACACTATATACCCGCTGCTTTGGGCTTGCAGCCCCGTCTCCCGACCGTAGACCGATCGAAAGGCTGTCACGGTCCTGTGACCATCGGCGTACAGTTGACGCTGATGGGGCATCGGATAAAGTGCTGGCGTCAGTAATTGTCTGGTATACCTGGAATCTACATCTACAGCTGGTTTTGACTTCCAGCCATCCTTCGTTAGTTATGCTTGTGACTATCATGCCAGCAAGTCGATCAGCAGCATCACCTCGCATCTTTGATGGTGAGGCCTGCAAAACGTCACCGACCAGTGACGATGCTCAAAAGGGCACCCTACCAGAGCTGGCGCAGTGTATGGTGCAGTCTTTCATGAATCCATGAACTATGCTGTTTGGCTGCTGTAGCTCAGACGCTTGCGTGTGTGCCTTACATTAAGGGCAGCGGGCCGTCTGCTCTAGCCATTTGCCAATGCATGCACGGCTGAACGTCTACCAGCAAGCTGCAAACACTTCTCTCCCTACCACACTGTGACATAGTGGACATTGTGCGTGTGTTGTTGCATTCCTATCTGAACTGAACTGTTCTGGATGCAGAGATTTACCCACTAAGCCCTAGAGAAATATGAATAAATACTATACTACTACTATTACTAAACTTGGTATGCGGGTGTGACGCGCTGCTGCTCATCAGATTCGGTCCATGCGACGCTCGTGTTTTTAGTTTTGTTATTTTGTCTGCCTTTTTTGAATTCGTAAACCGAACAGACTAAACTATCCAGTGATCAGGTACTGGTGTGGTGGGGCGAGGTTTTGTTGGTGATGCTGCTGTCAGTGGTGGCGGCGTGCATGTGCTCGTGCTTGCGGGCGATGGCCCGCGTTTTCTCCCATGCCGCAAGTTTGTCTTGCGTTTGTGTTCTGCATTTGGACTTCCTGCCAGGCTTAGGCTTGCATTTCAAACAGTTTGTCCCACTGTGTGGCTCCCAGTCTTTGAGCGGTGTACATCCACCTCTAGAGCTCCAGAGAATGTTGGGCCCCTGGCAGTAACAGTGCATTCCATGGCCAATTTTCAAGTGTGGCAAAAATGTTCAGGGTGTATTTGGTTTCATCCACATTGAGATGAAACACTGCCAAAATGGATTCAGTATGATCTGCCACACGATACTTCGTCTGTCCACTCCTTGACGCGAATTTCTCCCCTCCAATACGACAACACGACGACAGGAAGCTAACATGAGCCTCCATTTCTGAACAAAATTACGTCTCTAACATGGCCACGAAAAGCTACAGTTATGCACGTCAAGCTTAGGACTACACGAAATCGAAAGGCTAGGACATCGAGGTATACTAGAAAATTGTCTGCGAGGCGGAGAAAATTCGCTGGCGAGGTTGGCGAGCCCTTGAAATCGAGCGACGATCCAAAAATAATTGCACCCACGTCGAGAAAGAAACCATGCGTAGCGCGTGGGTAACCCAAGAAGATCGCTCGAGCGGCGGCACAGTCGAAGGCAAGGCCAGTCCAAGCTCTAAACTCTATCGAATGACCTGGCAAACACCCGTGGTTTCGGTTGACCTTGCCCGTTTGAGATGGAAGTCGAGCGAAATTACAAACATACGACTAGGCCAGATCGCGTAAAAAATGAAAAAGATTAAAATTTGGCCGCCATATTTAATGAACGCGCATCGCATGCATGGGACAGCCGTGCTCTCCTGACTGTTTCTGGACATAGTGAGACAGGCCTGGGCGGCCTGGGGCCTCCCCAGCCGTCCAGGATAACATACTGAGGCGGGAATATCGGCGGCGGACTTGGTCGACGATTTTTGATGTCGACACTCTTGTCGTCGTCCCGTTCTCAGATGCCTTCGCGAGGCGTTGCGAGCCCGCGAGTGGTGACATCTACAGCACAAAGAAAACGACAGCATGGAGTATTCAGCATAGGCTCTTGGAACGTACGCTCTCTGGTTGAGAGTGAGGGCCACATTCAGACGGCTGCCGCGAGTGGAATTGTTGCCGACGATAAAAAAATTTATCAAATTGTACAACATCTGGAACGCTTGGAGATGGACGCCGCTGCTCTTCAAGAGACCCACTGGTTTGGTCAGGAAAACTATCAAGTCCACGGAGCAATGGTCATTGCTTCGGGTCGGCCTGTGCCTGAGGAAGGAGCGTCCAGACGGCGAGGTGAGGGCGTTGCGTTTGTGCTGAGGGGAAATGCGCTTCGGGCCTGGCGCGAAGGGGGTTGTCAACTCGTCGCAGTATCCGCTCGGTTGTTGTCCATACGCTTGAAGTTTGATCTGGCGAGTGGAGAGGTTGAATGGATGTCGCTGGTTACAGCTTATGCGCCAACATTCAACAGTAAGCGCTGTGAAAAGGATGCGTTTTATGACTCTCTGCAAGGAGTACTCAACTCAATACCGTGCACAGATAAATTTGTTCTACTTGGAGATTTCAATGCCAGAGTGGGGTCTGGAGAGCCAGGTGATGATTGGAGCGCTGTGCGTGGCTCACATGGCTTGGGCTGCCTGAATTCGTCTGGAGAGGAGCTACTTCAGTTTCTGGCAATGCATCAATGCTGGATCGCGAACACCTGGTTCAGGAAAAAGCAGGAATTGAAAGGCACTTGGCAGCATCCCAGAACTAAACATGTCCATTGTATTGACTTCATCATCATAGCGCAAGGGAGCCGGCACTGGTGCACTGATGCTCAGGTTATTCGCTCGGCAGAATGTGGGAGCGACCATAGTCTTGTTGCCGCCAGGTTTAGGCTCGGCAGGGTCTTGTGGAAACCGCGGAAATCCACAAAGAGAGTACGATTTGCAGTGCATAATCTGCCCGCAGTGGTTTCGACAGATGCTGAGGGAAACCACCGGAGGAAGGTTGACGACTACCAGGAAAACATCAATGCCAAGATTGATGCAGTGGCGGACGCGGAAACGGTAGACGAGAAATGGAATGCGATGCGGGACGTGGTGACGGCGGCAGCTGCGGACACTCTCGGTCATCAGAGGAGACGGCAGCCTGATTGGTTTACGGAAAGCCAGGACGGGCTGTGGCCACTGCTGGACGCGCGCAATGCATGCTATCGAACATGGATCACTAGTGGCCGGAATCAGGAAGAGTATTCGCGCTACCGTGTTGCGCGCACGAGGGCTCGCGCTGCCACCCGAGCTGCGAAGAATGATTGGTTTGCTGCCATGGCACAACGTACTGAGAAGGGGCGCTTTGACTCGGCGCGCATTTGGGCCGGTATCAAGACCATGCAGACGGCTCGGCGAGGGCTTGTGGGTGTAACTGCAGTCGCTGTGCGGGACGAGAACGGAAATGTCTGTAATTCACCGGCGGATCAGGGCCGCACATGGCACCGTCACTTCTCCAAGGTTTACAATGTTCCAACCTCGTATGAACCTGCAACTGTTGCCACCATTGAGCAACAGGAAGTGTGTGAAGACCTCGCCGATCCACCTACTCTGGAAGAGCTTAGGCAAGCTGTGCGCCGACTACGGAACGGAAAAGCAGCAGGAGGCTCTGGAATCTTACCGGAACTGCTGAAGGCTGGTGGGGATGGCCTCATGATGGCACTACTAGACCTTGTCCAGACAGTGTGGAATGCAGAGCGGGTGCCCCAGGAGTGGGTGGACTGCCAGCTTGTCCCGATACCAAAAAAAGGAAATCTATCCAGCTGTGACAATTGGAGGGGCATCGCTCTTCTGGAGGTGGTAGGAAAGGCTGTTGCTGGCCTCGTCCAGACAAGATTGCAGCGGCTCGCGGAAGACATCCTACCAGACACGCAGTGTGGATTCCGCAAAGGCAGATCTTGTGCGGACATGATCTTCGCGGTGAGACAAATATCTGAGAAACTATATGAACATCGCTGCTCTGGTTTCATGGTTTTTGTTGATCTACGGAAGGCCTATGATTCCGTCACCCGTAAGTGCATGTGGGAAATTCTCCGGAAGGCGGGCGTACCTGACAAGCTGGTTACCATTATCAGCTCATTTCATACCTCTATGTCTGCAAACCTGTCGATCCCGGGCATCGAGGCCGAGCCTATTGAGGTGCAAAATGGCCTTCGACAAGGTTGTTGTATGGCCCCAGTATTGTTCAATATATTCATGTGGGCAGTATTCCAGCTGTGGCAGCGTGAGGTTGCGGACATACCTGAGATTGGACTTCCCGTCTCCTCTAACTCTGGACCGTCTCTCCTTTTCAAACGCCAGAAGACTGACACAATCAACATCCATCGTGACTGTCAATTCGCAGACGATTCGGCACTTATTGCTACAACTCACCATGGTGCCACACTTGCGCTCAGCCGGTTCATGGACGTCGCAACTCGCTTCGGCCTCACCATCAACCTATCAAAAACCAAAGTAATGGCGGTCGGCTTCGGCATTTCCCCGGAGGATCGTCGTCCATTGGTGGTTGGCGGGGAAATTGTCGAGAATGTGCATGACTTTCGCTACCTAGGCTCCATCATCCATACTGGTGGCCGCACCGCAGTGGACACTCGGTCCCGAATAGCGTCAGCATCTAGGGCATTCGGAGCATTGCGTCGATCTGTCTTTGATGATGGCGATCTTTCACTGGCAACGAAGCGAATGGTGTATGATGCATGTGTGGCTTCTCTTCTCCTTTACGGAGCGGAGTGTTGGGTACCACTGAAAAGCGAGCTTGCGGCGCTGTCCGCCTTCCATCTTCGCTGCATTTCCGCAATCTTAGCCCTCGGTAGAAGACCTGGGACTTCCACATCAACAGGAAGACCATTCTGGAGGCCTGGAATCGTCGAGATCCAGTGGATATTACCACACGTGTTCTTCGCCGCCGTCTGGAGTGGCTAGGCCATCTAGCTAGGATGGACGGCGATAGAACTCCGCGCCAGCTCCTGTTTGGCGCGCTCCTTCCGCCGAGGCCGGCTTGCGGTCCTCGGAAACGGTGGCGAGACTCTGTCAGAGCTGACCTCTCCGCAGTGAACATCGACCACACGGAATGGTACGACCTCGCCCAGGAGCGTGGGAAATGGCGCAGTGCGTATTCCGCTCAACCAGTACCGCGATCGGCTCAGCGTGACACTTCTGTGCTCTGCGATGTTTGCCAGCGTACTTTCGCCCACCAGAAATACAAGAATCGCCACAAGTGCCTGGCCGAGAGGAGGAAGCCCATATCTGAGCAGTCCGGCAGCCGACTATGTAATGCGTGCGGGAGATGGTTCTTGAGTGCTGGCGGGCTAGCTTCGCATAAGTGTCTCTCCAACTCGGCTGCTGAAGTGGCGTCGGTCTCGGCTGTGGCATCGGCAGACTCGGTCCGGAAACAGCGGGTTGCCCTGCCCTGCTGCAGAGCGCATTGTCTCGGCTGCGGTCGCTGCTGCAAGTCATCCCGTGGTTTCGACCTGCATAGCTGTGCTAATTTCCTGTCCAGGAAGTAGAGCGGCGTTTCTGGGTCCAATGCTGAACTCAGTGCTGTCGACCCCTGCACAGGGGACACGTGACCATTTGATGGCAGTGTTACCAAGGACCAAGGTGTGTGTGTGTGTGTGTGTGTGTGTGTGTGTGTGTGTGTGTGTGTGTGTGTGTGTGTGTGTGTGTGTGTGTGTGTGTGTGTGTGTGTGTGTGTGTGTGTGTGTGTGTGTGTGTGTGTGTGTGTGTGTGTGTGTGTGTGTGTGTGTGTGTGTGTGTGTGTGTGTGTGTGTGTGTGTGTGTGTGTGTGTGTGTGTGTGTGTGTGTGTGTGTGTGTGTGTGTGTGTGTGTGTGTGTGTGTGTGTGTGTGTGTGTGTGTGTGTGTGTGTGTGTGTGTGTGTGTGTGTGTGTGTGTGTGTGTGTGTGTGTGTGTGTGTGTGTGTGTGTGTGTGTGTGTGTGTGTGTGTGTGTGTGTGTGTGTGTGTGTGTGTGTGTGTGTGTGTGTGTGTGTGTGTGTGTGTGTGTGTGTGTGTGTGTGTGTGTGTGTGTGTGGAAGGGGGGGGGGAACTCGTTGAACATGCATGTAACTACTGTTGTGGACATGGAAATCCAGTCGCACGTCTAGCGGCCCCAGGGTGCAGGCCATGCAGCCGTGGTAAAGCGGTACACACATGCATTTTAAGCGCTGCAGCGCGCTAGTCGTAAAGGATCAACAATCATGTGCCCTGCACGCAGCGTTCTGTACGCGCTGAGGGCGCCGGCCCCGGTCAATCGACCGGATTTCCATGTCCACGACAGTACATTTGCGTGTACAGTTCTGCTCAATGAAATCCAGTCGCAGCATCACTCAAGTACACGCTGGGCGTTGCGCAGCCCTAGACCTGCAAACATTGGGCTGCAAAATGGTGCAAGGCACAAACTTGAGTGACGCGACTGGATTTCATTGAGCAGCACTGCCAGTACTTACTTTTTAGCAGTGAGAACTGCTTACAGAATTCAATTAGTTTATGCATTCACATCAATCGTATTGAGAGCTGACCCTGGGAATGCAGTGGGTTCAGTTAGATGGACATGGTCCTGAGGATATAACCAGATCTACATGATGATTCTGTAGATCTACAAGAAATGCAGGTGCCACCGGCGTGAAGCACTGTCATGGGTCACTAGATTATTGCTAGGGAGTTCAGTTCCAGCCTGGGTCAGGTGAAAACTGCAGTCACGTCACAACTCGCGTTTACATTTTAACCCTTTGTGTACGGACTGTACATATTTCGATCCCCTGGGATCGAAACTTTTCAAGATTTTAATCTATCGTAACTCAGTCATTTCTTTTTTTTATACTAAGATATGTAGGTCGAAGAGAAAACTCCCAGCTGTCCATTGAAACAATCGCTGAAGCGCTCCGATGTGCGGTTCTGGGAATGTGTGTGTGTGTGTATGTGTGTGTGTCCATTGTTCTTATCACCTGACGATGGCCAAGTGCCGAAACGTTGTAAAATAACGGAACTTGTTCGGATGTGCAGCGCTATGGGAATGGGTGTGTCCACTCAAATTCCTTTCCATGTATTATCGGTGTTGTGCAATTCCATTTTTATTTGTTTCTTGACATGTAGTTGTGTGTAGTTGTGTGTTCATGTGTCATCTGTGCCTTCTGTATTTTGCTGCTTTCGCAACAGACAATCCGTTTGACCTGACAAGGTTTGTGTGTGACATTCAACCATGGTTGAACAAAGTTGACCCAGATCGACTGCGACAGATGGTGATCAAGAAACATCTCATAACTGACAGCGCATCAATAGAGAGACTAAAGAGAATTCAGTCCCGGGATAGACTATCTGATCATAATGAGGCGCTCATCCAGTTGCTCAGAGCTGGTGGCCTAAAGACTTATCGTGATCTCTGTGTTGTCATTGAGGAACTTGGTTATGCGGACAAGAGCAAGGAAATGCTCTCCATTTTGTCCCACACAGGTATGTTGTTGCTATACGTTTACTGCAATGTGTTCAAATTTGGTGGTGTGTAATGGACAGCTGAGAGCTTTCTCTTCGACGTACATATGTTAGTTTTTGGAAATAACCCAGGAATGACTGAGTTCCGATCGATTGAAATTTTGAAAAGTTTGTAGTTGTACAATCCGTAAATTGGGCCCCGCGTGAGATCTCTTTGGCCTGACTTTGACCCCGCTTCTATCTTATCCCGTGGTCAGTACTCCCTTGTCGATGCTGTTTTAGGTAGCTGTGGTCATTGCCTTTCCATTGATGCCACACATGCCATGCCTGAACAAAAAAGGTGGAGCTGCGCTTTGCACAGAGGCATAGAGAAGTACTGATCTCGACCAGAGGCAAACACGGCCCTGGCAGGTACACCCAATTTTTGTGTTCAGCAGCCTCGAATTAGTCTAAAAGAAGAGGATTCTAGAACATTTAGCTTCGCACTTTATCGCAGTAGAAGGAACATTATCACAGAAGCCAGCTCACAGCAATTTCCCGGTGGTGGACGTAAAAATCGATTGAATCGAGCGCACACTGTAGAAGCTGTGACGGTGAAAGCATGTGAGTTGTGCAAGCAGGCAAACCCGTCATGCATGCCGTGCAGCACATGCATGCACACGGCATGCATGTGCACACCCTGTATTGTAATGCACTTCATGCAATTAAGCACTTCAGTTCGCACGCGCATGTATGCACCAAATAGTGCAGTGCTGGACGGAAACCACACCGTCCCCTTCCATACTTGAATTGCTTTCTGTGACTGCTCAGACTTTCATTTTCCAAACTTCTATTACTTCGAAATCGCAAACATTGCTTTTGTCGGAGTCAGTTTTTCTCATTGCTCTGCCGCAGATATAGTGCAGCATTCCAGAGAAAACCATTTTCCAGACGAAATCCTCAACTCAGACTTAGCACAGTAGTTGTTGGAGAGCGAAGATTGCAAGGTACTGTATAGGATGAAATTTTCGGACAGAATTTATTTTCGTACGATTTCGGGCACGGCCTCTTTTGTACTAAAATTAATTCCGTACTAAAATTTGTTCCTGTAAAGTTATGTACATATGTACACTTTACATGCGCACCGCATGCAAACACGTGCATTTATAGTGCTGCCAAACCGTCCGATTTTTCGGACATTGTCCGATTTTGGAAGGCTCTTCCGAAAACCGGTCCGAAAAGGGAAACATCCGAAAAGCAGCCAAAATGTCGGAGATCATTACTTTCCTATGCAGAAGTCCTGTACTTTCACTTTTCAGCGCAACTGAAGGCAGAAATCACTGTACATTTGTTCTAAAAAGGCTAGCGCTTGGCTGTGGAAGTGCAAAGTAACATGCCTGGATCAGGCTGGATGGGATGTACACTGACAGTCTGTGCAGAGTCAGTGTGCGACCACACTCATCATTACAAAATTCATGACAACTCTGGGGTTACCATGGCAACGAAGCGAATTTTTCATGGTGTTTTAGGCGATATTTTGAATTCTCTGTAAAAAATTGCCAGGAGAAAAATTCGCACCATGTGGCCAGCCTTGGTGGTGAAGGTTGTCCGATTTTGGGCGAAAATTATTTGGCAGCACTGCATTTAGAATGCACGACAGTACGAAAATAAAATCCGTACGAAAAAAGGTCGAAATTTGGCTTTGTCCGAAAATGTCGTGCCATACAGTACTTTGTCGGCAGTCATAAATTTACACATTTCCCTGGAAAAACTGAGCTCGAGGCTGCCAGCCATCATTCTATGACCTCCAAAAGACCTTGCCAGGCCACGATAGTCATCAACACACCACTTTGGAAAACCCGCTATCACATGACTTTGTTACTAATTGTAGAGTTCTACAACAACCACTAGTAGGAAATAAGCCCGGGATTCTTGTTTGTAATACTTGTAGCTGAATCGGGGCGTTTTTGAACGTAAATTTTTCCATTTGTCATTGCCAATTGTTTTTCCTCTACGATCGACTCTCCTTCACCATAACGGATGTATGTTTCTTTCAGGGGAATTTACCTTCAGACTTTGGACTGTCAGTCAAAGCAACTCATCCAGTGGCGCCAAAATATTCACTTTGTGTCGGATTTCACCGAGCGCAACTGTACTAGTAGTGGGGTGCACTCATCCAAAAATTTGAAAGTGCATGAGTTCGACGGGGAACATAGGCCAACGGCAGTAGCTCAGCTTCCTCGGACCAACAGCATTCGAATCAGTACACAGAAGACTACCAGTAGGTCCAGTACTGTGAAATTTTGATTCGACTTTCTCCGTTAAGCAAAACTTCTTCATTGCGTTTTATTGTTCTTATCAGGGTCTTTCTATGCGCATTAGACAAACATATCGATGACCCCCCCCCCCCCACTGAGATAGGGTGGCCACGATGACATCCATTGCTCTGCCAGATGGTTTTGACAGGTCTATAAAACTGCATTGAAGTTTTGCTTAACGGATTAACGGAGAAAGTAGGCCATACATCCCCTTTGAAAGATTTTCAAAAATTGCGATAGGTTTCTTCTCATGCATTTTGTATCTTGCTAGGTACCACCATGACAACAGTTGGCCAACAGAAAACGCAGCCATCACAGCACCCGGTGGAAGATGGCCAGGCCGATCAGCAACGGACCTCCAGCAGACGTGAGCCAGTTTTCAAACAACCAACATCAGCTGTAACTAGAACTGATGCGACTAGTATGGGTACAACAACCAACACAGCATCGACTACAACGCAGGATTCAACAAGATCAGCAACTTCAAGCCAGTCATCTCTACCGGACAAAGACCGACACTTCACTGGCAGGAATGAGATTGTTACAGAGATTAGTGACAAAATTCTCACAACAAAGTCCACATCATCATCTACACGTGTGCAGAGTCTTCTGGCACCAGCTGGTTTTGGTAAGACGTCCGTAGCCATTGCTGTGGGACATGTATGTCGCAATGCTGGTTGTCGTGTGGAGTTCTTTGACTTACGCGGTGTAGCTGGTGTTGACGCTGTCCAGGCAATGATTCAAAACCGACTCGAAACAAACCCGGCTTCACCTGAAACTGCTGGCAAGACAAAACAAACAGCTGATGGCATGGATGAGGATGGTGGCAAGCACCGCATGCTATGTATTCTGGATAATGCCGAGGATGCTATCCATGCTGGTGCTGATAAAGATTTCCAACTACAAGATGCTGTGGAACGACTACTTCGACTACAACACAACGTTCATGTCCTACTGACAAGTCGTGTTTACTTTGACCTACACGCTGCCCAGTTTAAACTACAACAACACCGTCTTGATGGTCTGACAAAGGTTTGTGCTGTTGGTCTTCTCCATGGTCTATGTGTTGAAGGTAGTGTGAGCATTGAAGATGCACAGAGGTTAGTGGATCATTGTGGAAATGTTCCACTTGCTGTACGCATTACAGCTGGTCTTCTACAAGGGGGTCGATTAACTCCCACCAGGCTGCTATCGTTGTTCAAGAAGGTTGGTCTTGATGTGTTCAACGATGATGGTCTGAAACCGAATGATCGAATTCTGCAGCTGTTGAAAATAGCATACAACACATTACGTCAGAATGACAAGGCATCATTCCATGCTCTCTCTCAACTGCGCTCCTCGTTCTCATCTAAGTGCGCTTGTGTGATGGTGGATTGTGTAGGTGATGATGTTGATGTGGTTCATCTTCTACGTTTTGATCCGTTGATCAAGATTTGTTTCCTGGATTACAATTCGTGTTTGGATCGCTACTCGTTACAACCATTTATCGCCGAGTTTGGTCGTTACCAATGCCCAGAAGACAAGCAACACATGTACCAACAGCGGATGTGCAAGCATTTCCTTGGCTTTGTGAAGGAAGTTGATGACTGTAGAGGTTGTGGTGCAGACGAAGCAATGTACTGGAGTTACCAATTGCTTCAGGAACGGGTGAATATACAGATGGCGTTGTCTGTTGTTGATGTTTTGTCTGGCGATGACTTGCTTCCTTTCTCTGGATTAGCAGGGTGGTCAGGTATCCTAATTGCCTTGTTTGGGAGAGCAATGTTTGTTGGAGAGTTTGTGGACAGGGTACAAAGATTGGACAAAGCACTGCTATCTGTACAAGCTGACAGCATTTGCACCTCGGTCCTGTGTTGTATTTGCCGTCAAAGCATTGCAGATTCTGATGTCACTTTTGAGAGTTCGGATTCCAGAACCCAAATGCTCCTGGAGAAATCTGAACAAGAACCGACAGGAGTGGGGTCACCGCTGAAGCTACCTTTGATGCAACTTTCTCTAGAGTCATGCAGGCTATCCATGTCTCTGGACATCAACTGCAGGGAAGGACAGGTTGAACTGAGCCAGGAAACACTATCCCGTCTGCAGGTGGTATACCAGCGTGTTACAACAACACTGGGAATGGGTCTTGCAACAGGTGTCACTGAATATGCCCTGAAACTCATTCAACTGTATTGTTCCACTCTGCTAAACAAGGATATGCCCAATGTACAGGTGGTAGAAGACCTTGCTGAGAGAGTGATCTCATCACGCTTCCTATCACAGGATGGTGGGGTCCCTTCATGTACTGCAATGTTCGGTTTTCTGCTACAGTGCATTGCTGTGATCCTGGGCAAGGTCATGTCAAGTTCCTGTAGCAGTGAGTGGATTATTTCACCATCATTGATTACAACACTGGGTATACCACTGTGCGAGTGGAAACATGTACCAACTGCTATCAGCCGCACGTTCAATACCCATGACGACCACACTACTGTGTCTGCTCTTGGGTTACAACAGTACCTGTACTCCATGGATAATGACACAGTAACCACACTACTGAACATGTACTTGGGTGGTATGTACAACCACCTGTACATATCCTTGGTAGTAAATGGAAGGGCACACACAACTCCAACGGGTCTCACTCTACCAGCACAGCATCCCTACAACATTGTGATGGACTATGCCAGGAGATGGTGTAATGGCTCAAATCCAGCATATCACACAACAGCACTGATTAACAACTGTAGCCAGAACAAGATACCTGATCTGGAAGTGGTGCAGTATTGTATACTGATGGCTAGAGCACTGCTCAATTTGGAGGTAAGCTGGTAGTGCAGTGTTCACAATTCAGGTTACCATAACTGTTTTTCATCCACATTCCACTCTGAATGGAACATTGTATTGCAAACCAGTGTACTCAGTAATTATCTACTGTATAGTGTCTGTCTCTCTAAGGTTGATATCTTGAAGAACACAGAGGGGAATTTGATAATTTTGAACATTGTAAACTATGGAAATGGAATGTGTTGCTTTACGCTATATCAGTCTGATTTGTTATTATTGTGCATGATGTTCTCTGTTTCGAGTGTACAGGCCTTAGTTCAGTTACTTTCTTTTCTACACTTTTCTTTGTTGTGTGGTTTGCTCTAGAATACTCTCTTGGCGACTGATGTTAGTTCCACACTCTTCCCAGCGTTGAAGTCACTTGTTAAGGATCTCAGTGCTTGCCTGCCAAGCAAGTGTGCAACTGGTCTCTCAGTGTCTGGAATTGTGTACTTACCACCACAAGCTGAAGGCCTTTCTCTACTATACAACTCTCTCCTTGCTGCCCTGCATCATCAATCCAAGAGAGGTCAAGTGAGCATTGATCACCACATTGCACTACGGGAATGGTGTCCACCTGTAGCGGCATGTTTTGTCTGCTATGACCTGGACAACATCACAGCATGTCCTCGTTGTGGCATGGCTTACCTGTGTGGCAAACATCGTCAAACTGATGAACACCTAAGTGAACACAACCAACACTGTGCTATGCTGGCAGCACTCAGACATCGCATACTGCAGTAAGTTAGAGTGTTATCATCAAAACACTCTAGGTGGGTGTAGGTGTGTGTGTGTGTCGGGGGGGGGGGGGGTGTAGGTGGGTGTGTGTGGGGGGGGGGGGGTGTAGGTGGGTGTGTGTGTGTGGGGGGGGGGGGTGCAGGTGTGTGTGGGGGGGGGGGGGGGTGGAGTGGGGGGGGGGGGGGGGGATGGGAGTTGAAGGGGAGGTGTGCGAACCAAACTTTTAATCATCCGTAACATCATCATGCCTTATTTCCGAACTGCCTCTTTTTACTTCCCATTCTTGATCTTGTGTTACACTGCAACATATGAGCGTTAGCATGCTATCGCGAGTTAGCAGCCAGCCCAGCCCTTCAAGATCCTGTACAATGTCTCTTGCATGTCATTGCTGTTTTGACTTCAGAGCGTAGATCTACAACTTGCGGAACATGTGTTCCAAAACAGTTTCCTTCCGTTTAGACTATCGAGCTTGCATTCTCGTATCTCTACGCTTCAAATTCAGACTTCAATAACGCTTGTTGGTGCCTGAAACAATGTCGTCGTCCACAGTGGACCGACTGTGGACATTTAGCTTGCGCCAGCATCAGGTTTCCTGAAGTACCTCCACGCTTCAAATTCCGATCTCAGCGCCCCTTGTTTGTGCCTTGAAACAATGTCGTCGTCACCTACCGGCTTTCAGCCTCTCCGGAGCTCCTCGCTTTACCTGGCTCCGCCGCCCGCCTACTGCGAACGCAGCGATGGGCGCCACACAGCACCAACACTGCAACAGCAGGCGCGAGCCTGACGATCGTAATTCGTTTCCAGAGATCTAGAGAGGTGAGTTCGTGGACTTTGATTTTCTGTTGGAAGTTCAACGTGCCGCATCCACTGCCGTCGACAACGCCACCCAGCTTCTCCTCGCTCTACTTCGATCTGTATCGCCCCTCGCCGCCAGCAGGCCAGACCCTACTGGAAGCGGGGTAGTGACGACCGCCATGCAGCATCAACAGCAAGTGAACCTGACTGTCCTACGGCGAGAGTCCATCGCAGGACCAGCAGGGGGGGGGGGGGGGCAAATATGTGTGTGGGGGGGGGGGGGGGCGTGCGGATGTGGGGGTGGGGGGGGGGGGGAGTGGGTGTGGTGGTTGTATGTGTGTATGTGTGTGTATGTGTGTATGTGAGTATGTGTGTGTATGTGTGCATGTGTGCATGTGTATGTGTGTGTATGTGTGTATGTGTGTGTATGTGTGTATGTATGTGTGTATGTGTATGTGTGTATGTGTGGCAGCCTATGTAGCGAACGATTCTCCCGCCCGCAGGACCTCACCCGCCCCCGAAGACAGAAACACTAGCGGTGTGTAGAACGATCCCCTTTCACCTCAATTACTCTCCTTGTTTCTTTTCCTTTCTCGCTGTTGTCTCCCGCTTCTGGGAGCGACGTGGCCATGTTGTGGCAGTTGTACATAGTAGTAGTGTGTATGTGTGTATGTGTATGTGTGTATGCGTATGTGTATGTGTGTGTGTGTGCATGTGTGTGTATGGGGGGTGTCTGCACTTGTATGGTAGTGATTCAGTATTACGAGTGAACTACCGATGAGTCCATGGTAGGAGGGGGAGGGGGGGGGGGTACTCACACAAGACCTTTGATTTTCTGTAGGATCCCATACGATATATTCCTACTGTCCCTCTGTATGACCCCTTCTGGGTCCAATGTGACATTGTAACGATGGGTTGATAGAACAGGCGGGAGTCTTTCAGTGTGTGTATGTGCTTGAGAGCATGTGCACCCGTGCGTGCGCGTGTGTGTGTGTGTGTGTGTGTGTGTGTGTGTGTATGTGTGCTATCGCACCAAGGCATGAGAAACACATGAACCGCATGATTGTGTATTTGAGGATTAGCGACCCGAGTGTGTGTGTGTGTGTGTGTGTGTGTGTGTGTGTGTGTGTGTGTGTGTGTGTGTTGGATCCCGGGACGGATACCCTGATGCCGTCAATCCTTTTTCTGCACCTTGTCCTCACCCACTTACTGAGGTGTGGTGAGCCCATAAGTGGGATCATTTCCAAGTCCACCCAGAGTTTTGGGGGTTTCAGGGGGTGTCTGCCGTTGAGCGGTTCAAATAGCCAATTGAGTCATCTTTCCAAGATTCCTTTTGAGTCTCTCTCCCCTCTCCCAGGAGACCCACGTAACCAGTTTTGGCAGTGAGCAAGAAGACTAATGTCGTAGTACGTGTGTGTGTGTGCGTGCGGTCGGGCGGGCGGGTGTGCGTGCTTGCTTCTGTGTATACTTGTGGGATTGTGGGTCGTGGGTGTGATTTTGAGGGACAAGGGGTGTGTGCGTGGACAAGCGTCACAAGGTGTGTGTGTGTGTGTGTGTGTGTGTTTGTAAGGGACAATGGGGTATGTATGTGTGTAAGGGGGGAGTGTTTATGAGGGACAAGGGGTGTGGATGTTGGTGAGTGTGGACGAGGGGTGGGTATGTGTGTTTGTGGGGGGGGGGGGGGGGAGAGGGGTACGTGGGGAAAACAAATGGTTCAATATGTCAGGAAAAGCCCTAGCAGGGAATGTCACTTCTGTGGTATGTGTGCAACGTATCCTGTTATACGGTCACCTGTTTGACAGCTTGATGTTATTCAGATTGAGTACATAAGTTGCCTGTAGATTCCAGTCATGATGTCATTATGAGTCATGATTATTATAACAAAGACTTCTTTAGTTCATTCTTAATTATATCATCAACGCATGCAATCCATAAGACGAATTGTATGTCCAGAGCTTCAAGTAAATGTGTGATTCTGCCTGTGTGTGTTGTTTGGTATGTGTGCTGGTGTGGTGGCTTGTGTTTGGGTGTGTGTGTGTGGTGGTGTATGTGCACCCTCTCTGTTGTACACTCTCCAGGGCTAGCTGAGCTTATGAAGGTCTCTATTGGATAGTGTTTAGCAGTTGAGATTGGTGAAAGTGACCAGCACTGGACAGGGATCATTTCCAGCAGCTACTGCAGTAAGAGATACTCCAACAGCACACTACCTGTCATTGATCACAACACTGTGACATCACTTGTATAGACATGATGTATACAGATTGTCTATGACACACACTGTTGTGTTACTATGTAGATATAATGATCAACTGAACTACATGTACTGTCTAGTCCAGTCTACTGTGGTATCAGTTTTACTGAATATGTTCATGTCTACTCTCACCTACTGTTTTTACACTAGTCACTGTACAGAATAGTTACCGCTATGTCAGTTAAACCTGGAAAACTCTACTCTACAAATGTTTATACTGCAATGTATATTGCCATAGCAGTGTCAGCCATACCCTGTACATACAAGTTCATGCTACTATCTTTGAGATACACATCATATTTTCCATTATTGAAATCTAGCAGTAATGCTAGCATTCGTTTGGCAAGCAAGAAATACCCGTTGTCTGCTACCATGCCAAGTCATGAAGCATCGTGAAGGTAGCCATGGTTCGACCCTAGCACACACACACACTGCAGCTCCTTCCACGTTTCCAATTGTGGCCGGCTTTTCAGTAGACCACAGGACCTATCCTGCCTGAACATGGCAATGTGTCTCAGGTTCAATGTGTTTGTATGTACGTGCGTGCGCGCGTGCGCACGTGTTTGTGTGCGTGTGTTTGTGTGTGTGTGTGTTTGTGTGTGTGGGGGGGGGGGGGGGGTGCGGAGTGCGCATGGATGTGCATGCACGTGTGTGTGTTTGTTTGTGTTTGTTATTTGAGTATATACATGCTCAAGGGTACAGCATGCCAAACTAGAGTGTGCCCATTTGTTACAAGCTCATGACCGGGATCCTACCTCTGCCAGTATTTTGCATTATGTTACTGTTATAGACTGCATTTACATGCCGTCGCTGCATGCTTCTCTCTCGCTGCTTCTTCGTACGACATTATCTCCATTCGCGCATGTCTATGGTATTCTCTGATCATGGCTGCTGGCCCTTACCTGGTTGCTCTTGGCATGCTCGGGCCATTCTCTTGTTTACCTTCGTAATGATAACTACCAACCATAATTTCTCCTCGTGTTGCTTGTGACTGTCGTGTGCCACAAGCAACACAAGCAACACAAGCAACACAAGCATGCAGTCACTAAGTGTAATTAGGTACAACAGTTACCGGCATCAGTAATATACACTGCAGTCTGCAGTGTTGTAATGATCAAATTTACCATGGTTAAGATCTACAATGTACTGTCGTGAACATTGAAATCAGATGGGATGACGGGACCAGCACCCTTACTTCTGTTTGCATGTACACACACTATAGTTTATGTCCACACTGTAAAAATGGACCAGCAGTGCTCACGGCTGCAAGGCCAGCGCCACGTGGCCGCTTGACTTCTCAACGGATTTCAAAGTCCACGACAGTACATTGAAGTGTAGACAAATGGAGGTGGCAAACGTCACGGACCATTATTCTGTGGCGATACTGCACCTAGAGATCACTACTGGCCGTGCTCATGGGCAGGCACAAGAGTATGTATTAAACGTCTGCGGGGGCGGGGTCTGAGCCCTCTGGATTAGGATGAGCAGAAAGTTTAGATTTGCCACGAGCACAATGGCACACAGTGTTCAAAATGGGCGCGGGAGGGGGGGGGGGGTGCCAACAGCAAGTTGCAGTGTCGGCATGCCGGTATCGTACAGGCACGCCTAGACTGCATGTGATTTCAGCCTTCATACTGCAACTTTTGTATGAAGTAAGCGTAGTACTTCAAGTATAAAGCATATTGAATAATGACGTAATTAAGTACCGGTAGTCGGGTACAGAAAACAGTAAGAGTGACTTGGGAGCAAGTAGTAGTGATGTCATAGCAGTACAGCCGTTAAGTAGTTGTGATGTCATAGCGGTACAGCCATTAAGTAGTACTGATGTCATCGCCAATATTTTGCTTGTAATAAACTTCAAAATATTCACAATAAAGTCCCTCTCCATGCTTCAAGGATGGTGGAACGGACGGAACTTGAAATAGAAACAAACTGTGAACGGGCCTAGCTGAGAAAGAAAAAGAACTTGGTGATGGCTCGGAAAAATGCACATTAGCTATGAGAGTCGACACTGATAAGTCTGGTGGATTGAACAGTGTGATGTCGATAACCACCCATTATAGAACACAGATTGCGCCGAGCTAGGGCACTAATGAATGTGGCACAAAAAAAACCCATAGCTATGTGAATAAAAATAATATTATCAGCGGCATACTTGAAGTAGTGAGGGTAGGTAAGTGTAATTTGTCATGTGACCAGTATTGATGGTGGATATGCTGAAATACATATACATGTAGAGTAGTGATGATACTAGCATTGAAACTGGAGAATGGGACGGTCAAGGGTGGACTGTGAGGAGACTAGCAACAGCAGTGAGGATGCACACATGCACATGCACTGCCGACTTGACCTTTTTACTGGCATTTCTTCGGTTCGTCCGGAATCAGAACGTTGGCTGGGGTGGTGCCAAGTAGCATGGAGTGGCGCTCGTACGACTTTGATTTACGGAAGCGACTGTCCGTGCCATACAGAAAATCAAAGATTCCTGCATAGCAGCAGCCAACATAAACAAAAAAATAATGTCAGTTTTCACAATTATACAGTAGGTATCAGTTATAGCGTGGGTGTTTGAAAAACGACTTTCTATTTTTATATCCGATATTTGAGCCGTCAGATGCAAAAAGGTACCTTATGACATTTTTGGCCAAATCGAGTTAACGATTGTTTCAGATACAACCTGGCCAGGAGAGTGTCGTGCAAAAAACCAGGTCCAAAAATCTCAATTCATCACCGAGTTACCCTGAAAACTATCCGGACTATCGATCACATATTCACAGAAAATACTTTTTCGAACGCGATTTTCTCAACTGCGAGCAAAACGTCATAAGGTACCTTTTTGCATCTGACGGCTCATTTATTACTCACGATATTGAAAATCAAGTGTGACATATCATGTGCATGTGCGCAGAGTCAGGAAGATCATCCTACATGCAATGTAGTGCTACTGTGCATGCGGCTGGTCATAGTCCCATAGCCTCATAGGCTGACCATTGTGGCTATGCAACATGAGTTACATGACCACAATAGTTGAATCTGCAGCACTACGTAGTCTACGACCCAACGCTAGTCGGATCAGAACTGCATTGGACAGATGTTATTACTACAGGCGATATACTTTGTACTAATCTGGTGTGTTTTGCTACACAAAGTCCATTTTTAGGACCGATATATTCGGCTGTCCGACAAAATTGCTTGTAGGAATAAATGTGCACTTGAAACCCATGTTATGATTATGAAAACATGAGAGTTCATTCTTGTAGGCAGTATATTCTTTTACATGACCACGCTATAACCGATACGCACTGTAAGAGGTACACAAACTCACCGGCAGGCACATGGGGCTAGCATGGAGTCAGCAGTACATGGGGCTAGCATGGAGTCAGCAGTACATGGGGCTAGCATGGAGTCAGCAGTACATGGGGCTAGCATGGAGTCAGCAGTACATGGGGCTAGCATGGAGTCAGCAGTACATGGGGCTAGCATGGAGTCAGCAGTACATGGGGCTAGCATGGAGTCAGCAGTACATGGGGCTAGCATGGAGTCAGCAGTACATGGGGCTAGCATGGAGTCAGCAGTACATGGGGCTAGCATGGAGTCAGCAGTACATGGGGCTAGCATGGAGTTAGCAGTACATGGGACTAGCATGGAGTCAGCAGTACATGGGGCTAGCATGGAGTCAGCAGTACATGGGGCTAGCATGGAGTCAGCAGTACATGGGGCTAGCATGGAGTTAGCAGTACATGGGACTAGCATGGAGTCAGCAGTACATGGGGCTAGCATGGAGTTAGCAGTACATGGGACTAGCATGGAGTCAGCAGTACATGGGGCTAGCATGGAGTCAGCAGTACATGGGGCTAGCATGGAGTCAGCAGTACATGGGGCTAGCATGGAGTCAGCAGTACATGGGGCTAGCATGGAGTCAGCAGTACATGGGGCTAGCATGGAGTCAGCAGTACATGGGGCTAGCATGGAGTCAGCAGTACATGGGGCTAGCATGGAGTCAGCAGTGAGACAGTGCTGGTGAGGTCTGCCATTCTCAACTGACCAGAGGTCTCGGCATCATTGAATGGCAGACACACCAAACTGAGGGCATTGTAGTGCATTGGATCAGAATCAGACAATACCTATAAGAACATTCATGGTCAGAAGAGACAACAACCATGACACTGGTTTGCAAGTGAACTGCTGGAAACAGGGAGTATTTCTTTTTCTGTTGTTGGGGGCAGGGACTGGGGGAGTAATACAGTCGTCACCAAAAAAATCCAGCCAATGCCATGGATACATGTACAGTGGCATGGTGCCTGTCACAATCGCATTCATGCATTTACAGTCATTAGAGGGTCTACCAGCATAGCACTGAACTAAAACAGTCCGCCGCTCTGCACTCTGCCTGCTGCAGTCAAGTCGAGCACAGCACAGACAGTGCACTGCAGAGTGCAGTCCCGGCGGCAGAGCATGAGTCATGCACTAGGCTAGTACACTAGCACTAGCAGGGGCAGTGCATGCTACCCATGCACAGTACAGCTACTGGTAGCAGTGGCAGTGCATGCTGCCCATGCACAGTACAGCTACCGGTAGCAGTGGCAGTGCATGCTGCCCATGCACAGTACAGCTACTGGTAGCAGTGGCAGTGCATGCTACCCATGCACAGTACAGCTACTGGTAGCAGTGGCAGTGCATGCTACCCATGCACAGTACAGCTACTGGTAGCAGTGGCAGTGCATGCTACCCATGCACAGTACAGCTACCGGTAGCAGTGGCAGTGCATGCTACCCATGCACAGTACAGCTACCGGTAGCAGTGGCAGTGCATGCTACCCATGCACAGTACAGCTACCGGTAGCAGTGACTGTGCATGCTGCCCATGCACAGTACAGCTACCGGTAGCAGTGGCAGTGCATGCTACCCATGCACAGTACAGCTACCGGTAGCAGTGACTGTGCATGCTGCCCATGCACAGTACAGCTACCGGTAGCAGTGGCAGTGCATGCTACCCATGCACAGTGCAGCTACTGGTAGCAGTGGCAGTGCATGCTACCTATGCACAGTACAGCTACTGGTAGCAGTGGCAGTGCATGCTACCCATGCACAGTGCAGCTACTGGTAGCAGTGGCAGTGCATGCTACCCATGCACAGTACAGCTACTGGTAGCAGTGGCAGTGCATGCTACCCATGCACAGTCCAGCTACTGGTAGCAGTGGCAGTGCATGCTGCCCATGCACAGTACAGCTACCGGTAGCAGTGGCAGTGCATGCTACCCATGCACAGTACAGCTACCGGTAGCAGTGGCAGTGCATGCTGCCCATGCACAGTACAGCTACTGGTAGCAGTGGCAGTGCATGCTACCCATGGACCGTACAGCCACGGGTAGCTGTACTGTGCATTGGCTGGATTGTTTGGCCACGACTGTATTCTTCTCTGTGCAAATTTCAAAAAGTTAGCACGTGACTTTATACATGCAGTCAGAACTTTCTCTTTTGGGGGGAGGGAGTATTTCCTTTTAGGGGTACAGCAGGGG